TATTTACTCTGTAATATTTTAAAGCAAAGAAAAAAGAATAAATTTAACAATGAATAGTTCCTGGATAAACTATGAGAGGATTGCCACATGCCAAACTCCTTTTAAGAAAATTGTTATAAGATATGAAAATACAGTTGTTTGGAGATCACTGTGATGAACTACCATCCCAAATTTGAGGCAAATGTATCAAAAAAAAGTGCTGAGTTATGGTAAATGTAGCATTTTAGCTGTAGCAGCAATGTTTGATTTTTAGTTTGACAGCAGTACTGTTAGCCTTGGAGGGCCTGAAGTCGTTGTGTCACCAGACACAGGTAGAATTCTAGGGTGGCAGGGTGGAAGTTGGGCAGAAAACCACAAAAACCTGAAATGCAAAATGGCCGACATATCATTTTTTGTCTTGAGTTCACTTGCTTTTGCAAGCGGTGGTCACTGATGACACACACCAAATTCTGTGCAGATTGGATGATGTACAGTATCAGTGAGCTACAAGTGTTTATGTAATGTAGGTGGCGCTGTTGAGTCAAACTCCAATGTAATCCCATAGGCCTCTTCATAGTTCTATTTGGGGTAAGCTCCGCCCTCTAAGGCTATCGCTGATGGATATCCCTTTGTGCCTCGCGCGTATTCTGAATAAACCAATAGTCCTCCGGGACATATATAAGCTGGCCAGCCCGGAGCTCGCCTCCCTCTTTTTCTTCAGCTACCGAGCTATTAACTACYCTTTGAACTTCACCATGCCCAGCCAGACGAAGATTTGCACCGCCTGCGGCACTGGATACATGCAGGCCTCCGACCTGCATGTGGTGTGTGAAAGGATCTTCAGCGCCGACCATGCCAACCAGGGTATGGCGACGGACGTCGCCTGCCGAGCTTGTAGAAGATTGCCGCTAGAAGAAAGACGACGGCGGGCTGAGTTCTTCACGGAGCTGGAAGAAGACATCGACGCCTTCGCGTTTGTGGCAGTCGACGACATCATTTCCCTCGAACCGGAGTTTGAAGACACCGCTTCAGAGGCCTAAGACAACAGCGGCAAACAAACCCACCCCTCCCAGGCGGCTGGGCTGGAGTCGAGCGCCCGCAGTCAGGAAGAGCCCAGGGAGCTGGGCCTTCCTCTATCCACCACCAACCCACTGTCTTCCATTGGGGCGCTCATGATCGCCCCATCAGCAGATAGAATGATTAAAGTCACAACAAGATTTGCTAACAACAGTCATTCTTAGATATCCATCCATCCATCCATCCATTTTCTTCCGCCTATCCGGGGTCGGGTCGCGGGGGCAGCAGCTTCAGAAGGGAGGCCCAGACCTCCCTCTNTTCTAAATGTTGGACAAAAGTCCACTGGTCAACATGTAGACAGACTGACAGTCCACTGGTCTACATGTTGGACAGACAGACAGGCCACAGATCTACATGTTGGACAGACTGATGGTGCACTGCTCTACATTTTTGAAAGACTGATGGTCTACTGGTCTATGTTTTGGATGGACAGCCAGTCCWGTGGTCTACATGTGGGACAGACATATAGTCACTGGTCTATGTGTTAGATAGACAGACAACCCATTGGTCTACATTTGAGGCACACTGACAGTCCACAGGTCTACATGTTGGTCAGACAGACAGTTCACTGGTCTATTTATTGGACAGATTCAGAGTTCACTGGTCTACAAGTTGGACCGACAGTCAGTCCACTGGTCTGCAAAGTTCAGCATGGAAATGACTGTGGACACAACAGATGAAAGACTTGTTGGACATTTACACACCATAAATATGGAGTCCAGCTGGTTCTGATGCTGCTGGGTAGACTGAGGACTGGGAACATCTGATCTTTGCTGGTCCACTCTGTTGAGGAATCATGTTGACTTTATAACATGAAAAGATTTCAGATTGACTAAAATTGGTTGAGCAGGTCTTCTTGATGAGTTATTCTTTGTTAATAAACAAAGAACTCATCCAGAGGACATATTTAAACTTTTTTTTTATTGTTTTCTACTTGGATTATTGAGATGCATCAGAATGTTTGAAACTACAGTGGTTTGCAAAAGTATTCAGTCCCCTTGAACTTTTATACCTTTTACCACATTTCAGGCTTCAAACAAGATATAAAAATTATATTTTTTGTGAAGAATCAACAAGTGGGACACAAATGGGAAGTGGAATGAAATTTGTTGGATATTTTAAACTTTTAACAAATGAAAAACTGAACGTGCAAAATTATTCGGCCCCCTTGTGTTATTACTTTGTAGCACCACCCTTTGTTGTGATTACAGCTACTGGTCTCTTGGATTATGTCTCTATCAGTTTTGCACATCAAGAGACTGAAATTCATGCCCATTCTTCCTTGCAAAGCAGCTCAAGCTCAGTCAGATTGGATGGAGAGCATTTGTGAACAGCAGTTTTTAGCTGTTTACACATATTCTCAATTGGATTCAGGTCTGGACTTTGACTTGGCCATTCTAACACCTGGATACGTTTATTTGTGAACTATTCCATTGTAGAGTTTGCTTTATGTTTTGGATTATTGTCATGTTGGAAGATAAATCTTCGTCCCAGTCTCAGGTCTTTTGCAGACTCTTAACAGGTTTTCTTCCAGAATGGTCCTGTATTTGGCTCCATCCATCTTCCCATCAATTTTAACCATCTTCCCTMTCCCTGCTGAAGAAAATCAGGCCCAAACCATGATGCTGCCACCACCATGTTTGACCGTGGGGATGGTGTGTTCAGGGTAATGAGCTGTGTTGCTTTTACGCCAAACATATCGTTTTGTATTGTGGCCAAAAAGTTAGATTATGGTTTCATCTGACCAGAGCACCTTCTTCCACATGTTTGCTGTGTCCTCAACATGGCTTCTGGCAAACTGCAAACGGGACTTCTTATGGTTTTCTTTTAACAATGGCTTTCTCCTTGCCACTCTCCCATAAAGGCCAGATTTGTGCAGTGTATGACTGATTGTTGTCCTATGGACAGATTATCCCACCTCAGCTGTAGGTCTCTGCAGTTCATTCAGAGAGATCATGGACCTCTTGGCTGCATCTCTGATCAGTCTTCTCTTTGTTCGAGATGAAAGTTTAGAGGGACGGCCAGGTCTTGGTAGATTTGCAGTGGTCTGATACTCCTTCCATTTCAATATCATCGCTTGCACAGTGCTCCTTGAGATGTTCAAAACTTGGGAAATCTTTTTGTATCCAAATCTGGCTTTAAACTACTCCACAACAGTATCTGCCTGGTGTGTTCCTTGGTCTTCATGATGCTCTCTGCACTTTAAACAGAACCCTGAGACTGTCACAGAGCAGGTGCATTTATATGGAGACTTGATTAGATACAATCACAGGTGGATTCTATTTATCATCATCAGTCATTTAGGACAACATTGGATCATTCAGAGATTCTCACAACTTCTAGAGTGAGTTTGCTGCACTGAAAGTAAAGGGGCCGAATAATATTGTGCACCCCACTTTTCAGTTTTTTTATTTGTTAAAAAAGTTTAAAATAACCAATAAGTTTTGTTCCACTTCAGGACTGTGTCCAACTTGTTGATTTTTCACAAAAAAATGCAATTTTATATTTTTATGTTTGAAGCCTGAAATGTGGTAAAAGTTTGAAAAGTTCAAGGGGGCCGAATGCAAGGCACTGTAACTCAGTTACATTTTAGACAACGATTAAATAGCATTCAACTCACCTCTCTGCTGATGGAATTTCTTCCAATTTAAAATCAATAACATCAATCATTGACTGATCACTCTTCAATGACACACAGCTGGGTTCGGGTTCAGGTTCAGGTTTGAGTTTTTTGTGAATCCTATTAGAAAAAGTGACATTTACTGGTTGAATCATGGTGATGGGTGTCAGTTACTGAGACTGGATCCTGGAACATTCTGGGTGAAAGGGATGGGATTATTTGTTCTTAGATGTTCATCCTGAAACCATCCTTTCCAGATGCAGAACACCACATTTGTAATTCTAGAGTCCATCTTCTCCAGTTTTCATTGTCATCCTGCAGCAGTCATATAATTCTTCTCTAACTAGTTTCTACTTTGGCAATCCAGATTATTGACAGCAGCAGAACAGGGAACTGCAGCTTCCTCTGTGTTTGTGAGAGACCGAAAGATGAGAAGATGGACTCAGAGTCACAGACTGAAATCACTGATTCTGAGAATTTTCTGAAACTACAGAACTTGCTGAACAAATCAAGCTCTCTTTGTTTCAGCTGCTGGGAACAAAAATGAAATTCCACCCAGAGACTAGGACCAAGGAGGATTTAGACCAGAACTCTTGGCTCTGACTCTGTTCCAGAATGACGGAGACATGGAAATCAGGAAACCATTCAAAGATTCATTAAGATTGTTCCTAGAAAATAATGAAAAATAACAATAAAAGTAGTTCTGCGTGTTCTGGTTCTGTCTCTGCAAGCCTGAGTTTTAGGGCAGGGTCTTTGTTTATCAAATGACAAGTGGATTGTACAGCTGAGAGTTTCTGTTAATATAGAGACAACAGCAAGCTCAACATTCATATTTTTTTCTAAAATCTATCAGATGGATAATCTGAATGTGAGAACAATAAAAACCAGAGCTGATGGCTCAGTTTGGTTCTGGTTCTGTTCACTACACAATCAGCATCCTTTATAACCTCACATTTGATCAGAAAAATTCTCCCTGTTCAGCAAAAAGTTTTAAACAATTTACAGACAGAAAGCAGCAACTTAGTCTGAGAAAAATGAAATAAAAATCAACTTAAAATCAGCAGAAAACCTTTATCTTTAATATCATCCAGATATATGAACTCTGAAGAACACTTACTGTTTGCTGGAGGAAACATTTTGGTTGAATGTYATAGGAGGATCCCTTGACATGTTGCTCTTTAAGGACACAGAGCTGAGTTCTGGTTTAGGTTCCGGTTCTGATTCAAGTTCTGTATCAAGTTCAGGTTTATTCCTGTGAATAAAGTCAGAGCGTTGATGCTGAGCTGTGACATGGAGAAGAGTTGTGGACAGGTAGAGATGGTTCTCTCACCTCTGATTGGTTTTAGAGGGAGGGACTCCCTCCTCTCTGTCCTCACACTGATCCATGCTGCTGAACTCAGTGAATCCACATCAGCTCACACTCATGTTCTACCTTCACCTGCAGAGGAAACACAAATCAGTTATTATTTCCATCATTTGGGCTGTAAACATGCATAAACATGCTCCTCCTCTGGTTGGCTCTTGGTCTCTGTTTCATCTCAGTTGAGTGCAGTCAGACAGCAGAGTGAGGCAGAGGAAGCTGCCATCAGCTGCTGTACTTCTATCTGTCCACTAGATGAAGTCATGGAGCTGCAGCCCAGCACACACATTTCACACCCTGTCTGACTTTGACTGGAAGCTTCTTTCTGTTTGGACTCATTCAAGTCAACTTGTTCTATTTTAACTTCTTCATATTCACTTGTTTCTTCCTCAGGGGTCACCACAACATGCCATTCTTCTTCATCTCACTCTGACATCTTCATGTTCTTTCCAACAACATCCATAAATATTTTGTTGTTTTCCTGGCAGCTGCATCTTTAACATCTAACCAATATACCCACAGTCCCTCTGCACATGTCCAAACCATTTCTGTCTGGTCCCTCTAACTTTGCCTTCCTGTCATTTGACCTGTGCTGCGCTTTTGATAATCTCAATCCTAATCATAATCTGTCCTTGTCACTCCCAAGGAGAACCTCAGTATCTTGAGTTCTGTCACTTCCAGTACAGTTTCCTTTTTGTTAATGCTGTTTTCTCCAAACCATACAACTCTTGCTAATAACTTCTGTTTGTGAACCTTTCCTTTGATCTTTTCCTGACATCCTTTTGTCATAAATCACTAATAAAACTTTTCTACTTCCAATTCAGGCAGCTGTAGATGAGTGGTTAGGGTAGTCGTTCCTATGATACCAGAGATGGTGATTCGATTCTACCACTACTCGGTCAAATGTCGAAGTGTCCCCGGGCAGGGCCCACTTTACCTCCTGCTAGGCCCCAGGGTTAAGGGGTCCTGTAAGCCCTCCCAGATTTGGAACCCTGTAGTGGTCACGTAAAATATATCTTATATTACAAGTTTTAACACTGAGTACCGTTCAGACCTATAAAGGAGAGATTCTTAACCCATGGGCTGAGCCAAATTGTGGGCCGTGAGCGCAACCTTGAGGGCCTCAAAAGAACAGCAGTTTTTAACTTTTGGCCGCAGAGGGCCGTGGGACCGCACTGATTTTGAATAAGGTGCAATACACTTTCTCACCACTGGTAGCAGTAGTGCGCTACTCAGATGTTTAACAACCTTTTTTACTATGAAGAAGAAGAACCTTAGAAACCTGCCTAGAATGGAAACTTATATTAAATTAAAAATAGAAGCAAAAATGAAGGTAACCCACCAAAAAATGCCAAAGTTTTTCACTAATATTAAGTGCAGCTTCGGCTTCTACCATGCAATATTTTAAAAGTTCAAAACAATATCAAATACGGTTGCATATATAGCTATATTTTAATCTGCACTTTGTCAAATTTGTTTTTGTAATTAATTTTTAAGCATTTTGCCAAAAAGCTGTTATTGTTATTGTTTGTCACTAATATGAAAAGCAGCTTCTGGTTCTACCATGCGAAAGTTTAAAAAGGCTTTATTTTCATTTGTACTTTATCAAATTTATTTTTAGTTTTTTTATTTTGAATATTTACATTAAGTATTTTTGAATGTATTTACTTTATAATCACAATTTTATTTACCGTCTATTTTTGTTGTTTATGTAAAAAATATTTTGTGTTGATAAGCCTGAGTGGTCCGTTGACTGACCTTTGTATTTGTTCAAATAATTGTTATGGGCAGGTTAGAATGGAAAAAAATGTTTGTCATAATGTCTTGTGATTATTTGACAGGAGTTTTTCTTTTAATCTGTATGTGTGTTTTATTTAGTTATAATGCAAATACAATACAAATTAAACC